AGTGGTGAAAAAGCTCACAACTGCAAAATTGTGATTCAGACATGGCTGTAGTCAGAGAGTATTTCAGTGTCATTGAATACAATTTAAATTCTCACAATTGTCAGTTCACCTGCTTACTTTTGCTTCAATCTGATATCCTGTGTGACCTCTGTAATTCTGGCAAAATAAAAAAAAAAATTATTATATATTATGGCTTTAATATCATAAATGCCATTCAACTTTGTGCAATATTGACCTAGATAGATATTATCTATCTTATCCTTTATTTTTACTGTACAAAAACAATTTGTTCATTATGTACAGATCAAAACTATATACTAAGTTAAACCCACAAATGAAAAAATAAGTACTGTATATAAGATTTATTTGAATAGTGTACCAATACTCATACAAAGACTAGAACACCTCATTACATCTTTAGACCTATTATGTATGGCGGGGGAAAGTGGCAAAAACCTAATGCTATGCAGAAATGTCTAATTCAAAACACAAATGTAATATAATGCAATAACAAATACCTAAAACGTCTTATGCAAAAGATAAAATGCAAGAAACCTCTGATACTTTCCCCCACCATAATTATTGTGGGACTTTGCTTTCAGCTTTCAGCAAAGTTCCAGTTTGTTATCGAAATGTCAATTCTTTTTTTTTTTTTTTTTTTTTTTTCTTCGAAATTTACACACCTTCCTGAGCCTAGACTGCAGTAGTTGCAGTAACCATTCACCTTATGTAGTGGCGACGTGTTCCTTGAGTGTATTTTGGAACATTTTTGCAAAACCGGAAATGCCACAGTTCAACATGTGCAAAAACGGGTTTTTTGACCCTGTAAGCCACATTTTTGGGCCGATTTTGCTCGGGTCTTTATTTTTGGAATCTGTGACTAAATTCGGATGTGATATGAGTTAAAAAATTTCAAATTTCGTAAATTCGTAGCATACATTTTTTGGCCGATTTTCGAAATTTTTGGACCATTTTTCAATTTTTTTCGGATTAATCTGAAATTTTGATAAAAGATGCATGTCACTAATGTAAACCATTTGACGTATTCCAAATTTTTGCGTCACTTCTGGTTAAAGTGGAAAATCGATTTTCACTTCCGGTTGAATAACTTCCGGTGTGATTGAAATATTTCAACGAAATTATGTATATAGTTATTAATCGTAATTCTATGGCCGATTTTAAAATAAAATTTAGTCCGAAAAAAATACTTCGGCCGCCATCTTGATTTGATACTTTTTCATAAAACTCAAAATGGGGCTTCGGGGGAGAATGGGATTGGTCAAATTTTTATGTTGGTGTATACTTTAGTCGATGGCGACAAAAATGTTGGAAATGGATTTTTGAATTTGACTTTTGCTTTTTTGCAACTTCCGTTCGAATTTTTTTCAATTTTTGAAGGCTTGTATCTTGTGACTTTGACCTTTGATGACCTTGACCTTCATAGGGTCAAAGATCATTGACCTTGGCTATCATTTGATACTTTGACCTTTGACCTCCGACATGTACTTCCGGTTTTATAGCTATCCGTAAAAAGCCAAATTCGCAACTTTCGACTGCTCTAGCACGTGACCTAATTAACCTAGAGGGTTAATTTTTTCGGTTTTCTAATGTGCTTCTCATGCACTTTACATAGATATAGAACAATTGCTTTTTTAAAGCAAAATTGAAATTGGTGATTTTTTCAAATTTGAGTTTAGTTTTACCATATTTGTGTCTTTTTGATCTTGGTGGATGTATATCTTATGACCTATTCTATGTAGAACCTTGATATTTGGAATACAACTAAACACTTTGAATATGAATTCACCTATGACAAAAAAATTGGGGTGGGCGTGGCACATCCGGGTTGAATTACTAATTGTTTACATTTTGCGGCTGGGGCATAACTTGCATAGGATACGTTTGTTCAAAAAGGGACTTTGCACACAATTACCTCATCCTTTTGGCCAGTTTGTGTTAACAGCTCAGTTGTTTCAGCTTTATAGTTTCAAAAAAGGAACGGGTTTTTTACATTTGGATATTTTCATTTTTCGATTTTGACCTTTGTTGACTTTTGTTGACCTATATCTTTTGACCTGTATGATGTAGAAGCTTGAAATTTGGAACACGACATAACATTTTAATATCAATTAACTATGCAAAAAAAATTGAGGTGGGCGTGGCACATCCGGGTTAAATTACTCATTATTGACATTTTTGGCCAAGGGCATAACTCGCAAAGTATACATTTGTTCAAAATGGAACATTGCACACAATTACCTCATATTGTGAGCCACTTTGTCTTAAAATTTCGGTTGTTCCCGCTTCATAGTTCAAAAAAAGGAACAGGTTTTGGAAATTCAAAATTTTCAATTTTTGACCTTGACCTTTGTTGACCTTGACCTTTGTAGGATCAAACGTCATTGGCATTGGCTATCTATTTATACTTTTATATTTGCTGTCCTATGTCAACATCCGGTTTTATAGTCGTGTGGAATTTGAAATTTTGATGACGAATATCCCTTGATCTTGACCTTTTTAGACCTTCTCCTATACAAGATCAAAGGTCATTGACCTTGGCTATCTGCTGATACTTTCATTTGTGAGGTCTGACGTCTACTTCTGGTATTAGAATCTTCTAAAAAATGAAAATTTCTCAACTTTAGACTGTTCTTGCACTTGATCTAATTATCGTCGAAGGTTGATTTTTTCGGAGTCTTTTGCAATTTGCTACATTTGCAAAGTCCCACTCTGTGCCACGTGTGGCTCTAGTGTCTATTTGTAATACAACTGTAATAGCACACAGACTCTTATTTTGAGGCAGATCTTTTCAGATCATTATAAATTTCAATTTGAATGATGCTTTTATTTATCAAAGGAATTTATTAGTTATGTTTCTAGCATCAGGTTAGTCTACAATTCCCATTTTGTTATGATATATTTTTTGCAGTGACATCAAGATTCTTTTAGAAAATGGAGAAGAATTACATGGCCATAAATTGATTTTATTTTCACAAAGTGAAACTTGGAATCAAGATGAACTAGAGAAAGTAGACATCTTGGATATCTCAGGTTTGGTTCAAATTTCTTATCATTTATAACCATGACTGTTGCTTTTAAAGGTTTGACTAATTCAGCTCTATTACCAGTCGGTAGCAAGTTTGATTTTCACCTACTGTCCTACAAGACGATGGGACAAGGGGTTTTAATAGAAGAAAACATTCTTATGACTGAGGACAGAAAATCATTAAAAAAAACTAAGCAAGAAATTTTGTTAGGTCCGATCAGTCATGACTGGCAATTATATTAAAATTAATATAACAGATTCTAGACAAACAATACAATAATGGTTTTCTAAACATTCAAAATTCTGTTTTGCTTCAGGATTTTTATGTGTTAGTGAAACCATTACAGATATCTGACAAACAACATCGTATTGTCTAATGAGATGGTTGTACACCAATACCATACCTACTGATACAGATTGTCAAACTATATTTATTATTACAGATATCTGTCAAACAACATCGTATTGTCCAGTGAGATGGTTGTACACCAATACCATACCTACTGATACAGATTGTCAAACTATATTTATTATTACAGATATCTGTCAAACAACATCATATTGTCTAGTGAGATGGTTGTACACCAATACCATACCTACTGATACAGATTGTCAAACTCTATTTATTATGACAGATATCTGTCAAACAACATCCTATTGTCTAGTGAGATGGTTGTACACCAATACCATACCTACTGATACAGGTTGTCAAACTATATTTATTATTACAGATATCTGTCAAACAACATCGTATTGTCCAGTGAGATGGTTGTACACCAATACCAGTACCTACTGATACAGATTGTCAAACTATATTTATTATTACAGATATCTGTCAAACAACATCGTATTGTCTAATGAGATGGTTGTACACCAATACAGTACCTACTGATACAGATTGTCAAACTATATTTATTATTACAGATATCTGTCAAACAACATCCTATTGTCTAGTGAGATGGTTGTACACCAATATCATACCTACTGATACAGATTGTCAAACTCTATTTATTATGACAGATATCTGTCAAACAACATCGTATTGTCTAGTGAGATGGTTGTACACCAATACCATACCTACTGATACAGATTGTCAAACTATATTTATTATTACAGATATCTGTCAAACAACATCATATTGTCTAGTGAGATGGTTGTACACCAATACCATACCTACTGATACAGATTGTCAAACTCTATTTATTATGACAGATATCTGTCAAACAACATCCTATTGTCTAGTGAGATTGTTGTACACCAATACCATACCTACAGATACAGGTTGTCAAACTATATTTATTATTACAGATATCTGTCAAACAACATCGTATTGTCTAGTGAGATGGTTGTACACCAATACCATACCTACTGATACAGATTGTCAAAACTCTATTTATTATTACAGATATCTGTCAAACAACATCGTATTGTCTAGTGAGATGGTTGTACACCAATACAGTACCTACTGATACAGATTGTCAAACTTTATTTATTATTACAGATATCTGTCAAACAACATCGTATTGTTTAGTGAGATGGTTGTACACCAATACAATACCTACAGATACAGATTGTCAAACTCTATTTATTATTACAGATATCTGTCAAACAACATCGTATTGTCCAGTGAGATGGTTGTACACCAATACAGTACCTACTGATACAGATTGTCAAACTATATTTATTATTACAGATATCTGTCAAACAACATCATATTGTCCAGTGAGATGGTTGTACACCAATACCATACCTACTGATACAGATTGTCAAACTCTATTTATTATTACAGATATCTGTCAAACAACATCGTATTGTCTAGTGAGATGGTTGTACACCAATACAATACCTACAGATACAGATTGTCAAACTATATTTATTATTACAGATATCTGTCAAACAACATTGTATTGTCTAGTGAGATGGTTGTACACCAATACCATACCTACT